TGACTACTATGCACAGGAAATGTTTAAAGATTTAAAAAGGAACGGTGGGCCGGGCACAGTGACTCACGCCTGTAATCCCAGCACTTTGGGAGGCCAAGACGGGCAGATCACCTGAGGTCAAGAGTTTGAGACCAGCCTGACCAACATGGTGAAACCCCATCTCTACTAAAAATACAAAAATTAGGTGGACATTGTGGTTGCATGCTTCTAGTCCCAGCTACTTGGCAGGCTGAGGCAGGAGGATTGATTAAGCCCAGAAGATTGAGGCTACAGTGAGCTGTGATCATGTTACTGCACTTCAGCCTGGGTGACAGAACAAGACCCTGTCTCAAAAATAAAAAGAATGTCTATGATGAAGCAGTGAAAATTTTACATCTTAATCCTTGAATATATCTTTTTAATATTTTATGTGATGAAACGGGAAGTACACATGAGCATTCGTACAGACTACCTGAGAAAAAACCCTTGGGTGATCAAGTCATGAAGTGAATTAACCACTTAAATGGAATATCATTTTTACTTCAAAGGATGACTGACAAAAAATGTTATTTCAGCTTGGGTTTTGGAGACATTTTCTCAAAAAAGGAGATTCTGTTATTTCAAGGAAAACAACAGACAGGCCATAATAAAATTCAACAATAAAATTGCTAATAATAAAACTCAAGCTTTTGAACAAAAAATTAGAATTTTAGAAAACTTATGTCTACCATCGCTTTCCAAAAGTATTCTGATGAGACTGATGGTGATATTGATGAATGAATTTTGATACCATATAATCAAGTGTATCAACATATAGAATATCTCAGTGAATGATTATTTTTGAAGCGACCAATGCATGATGTTATAATATCATGCAAGGGTAAAAAATCCAAAGTTCAAGAAAAATCAAGTTTTGATGGAGTATCAAAAAAGAAGTCAAGGCAACATGGCAAAACCCTGTCTCTACAAAAAATACAAAAAAATAGCTAGGTGTGGTAGTACACACCTGTAGTCCCAACTACTGTGGAGGCTAAGGTGGGAGGATCACCTGAGTCCCCAGAGACTGAGGCTCCAGTGATCCATGACCATACCACTGCATTCCAGCCTGGGCAACAGAGCAAAACCCCATCTCAAAAAAAAGAAAAAGAAAGAGAAATATCCACAATGATCTAAAATGGCTATCTGTATGACACTGGCCTTTGTTCAAATTTTTTTCAAGCAAATATCACACAATAAATTGAATGCAGACACAAATGACATACCAAACACCAAAGAAATTTGCAAAAGATTAAGATTGTACTACTTTGGGTTTAGAAATTTTCTTTTCATAAAAGCATTTATAACAATATTTGGTGAACCTTTAAAGAATATTTTGAATATTTCTTATTTAATTTCTAGTGATAAATACCAGTAGATATCACCTACATACACAAAAGCTCCTTGGGCCCTCAATATATTTTTAAGAGTGTAAAGGAATCCTGACCCCAAAACTTTGAGAGAACTGCTGTCTTCCCCTCCACTTTCTTCTTTCCCTTGAATTTCTTCCTTGGAAAAACATTCCTTTGCCATTCTACATTAACTTATTTAGTTCAATTGAGGCCAGTTTTGCTACCTCTCTCCCGTCTTTCCACATCCTTCTCTTGACACAAAACCTGACCAAAGGAGTCTACCAGCCCACCCCATTTCCAGTGATTAGCTGTCAGGTGGGCTAAGCCAAGCAAATCTGAGTTTTCCCTGAGACTAGACCTCTCTTTCTGGGAGATATGGAACCACAGGGACAAGATGGGCCACCTTGGGGTAGTCAGAATTCATCTTGCCTAAATGGGAAGAGGTTAGGCAAGTTTCTAGAAAGCCAAACTGCTTTCTGGAAAGTCAAAGATAATTATACTTTCTGCCACGACTGTGAGAATGCCCATTTCATTGCACACTTTCTAGTATTTTTACCAATCTGATAAGTAAAAGCTGGTACCTAGAAGAAAAAAAGGCCAGGTGTGGTGGCCCATGCCTGTAATCCCAGCACTTTGGGAGGCCAAGGTGAGTGGATCACCCAAGGTCAGGAGCTCCAGACCAGCCCGGCCAACATGGTGAAACCCCATCTCTACTAAAAATACAAAAATTAGCCAGGCATGGTGGCAGACTCCTGTAATCCCTGCTACTCGGGAGGCTGAGGCAGAAGAATCACTTGAATCTGGGAGGCAGTGGTTATAGTGAGCCAAGATCATGCCACTGCACTCCAGCCTGAGTGACAAGAGCGAGACTTTATCTCAAAAAACAAATTTTCCATACAATATAATTTACTCCATGTCTAGAAACCAATTCAGCAATGAGAACTGAAAGCCCCACTTGGAAGGTTTCAAGGATTTAGCTCTACCTATGGATGTCCAAACATTAGTTAAGGTAGAAAACACACACACACACACACACACACTCTCACCCCTATGTATTCAGTACCAGGAAACACAATGACTAGACGGTACAGTCATCCAACACAAAGCACACAATAACTGAAGGCACTGTAGAGGAGTAACTTCTGACATGGATCTACAATATTGTTGAGTGAAAAAGCAGATTACAAAAACAAAATCTGATTTTGTAAGGGAGAGGGAACACATACAAGCACAGGAGAAAAGAGATGAGCAGAGGACTGGAAAAATACAAAATTCTCATGGTGGCACATTCTGAGTGGTAGAACTATCGGTATGATTTTCTAGTTTTGCCTAAAAATTTTCTAAACTTCTTAAAATAAGAAGTTTTTGTTATCCATATTATAAAATATCCATCACCCAGGAAATTTAACCTTGAGCACAAACATGTTCAATGTTTGTTCAGTTTAATATTTAAGAAAGACATCTAAAATGATGACTAATATTTAAACCTATGCATTAATATTTTTCAATAATATGCTTTACATTTTGTAATTTTGATAAGGTTAAACTTTATATCCATCTTGAAAAGATAAGTTTTCTATTTGTCTTTAAAATATGACCTACAATATGCCTGTTTTTAAACAGTGAATGATGCTCAAAAAATCGCAATATAAATTCAGGCAGTGTTCCTTACATGGAGTGTTTAAGTGATTCTAACACTGTTCTTTTTCACCGGTTATGAAAACACAGAACAATTATCTACACATCTAATTATTCAGGTACTTTGTTTCTCCTCCATTCTATTAGTTTTATAGTAATTTTAAGGCCTGTGAGGATGAAGTTGTCTGTGACAGTTACCACAAAGGTTACTATAAGCAGACAAATTTCAAACAGGTTATCACCACTACCATCCCCACCATACAACTGTCTCAATCAAGGGCAACACAATTCAAGGTTAGCCAAGACAACCTACTTTACCTGTCACTGCTTAAGAAAAGAATTTTTTGGTCTTATTTAGAAATAACTTTCTGTATCTATTTTTCTCCACAAATCCACTGAGACCAAGGTGTGGCTCTATCTCAAGCACCAGTAGGCAAAACTGCCTGCCAGTATGTTCAGTTTCTGTATCTTTCCAAATGTGCGGCACAGCTATCATTTGATATCATAATGTTTTGAAAACTGAAGCACAAACTTCTTCTTGAAAGTTCAGTCGGGCTCGGTAGCTCACGCCTGTAACCCCAGCACCTTAGGAGGCCAAGGCAGGCAGATCACGAAGTCAGGAGTTCAAGACCAGCCTGGCCAACATGGGGTCTCTACTAAAACTACAAAAATTAGCTGGGTGCGGTGGCAGGTGCCTGTAATCCCAGCTACTCGGGAGGCTGAGGCAGGAGAATTGCTTAAACCTGGGCAGCAGAGGTTCCAGTGAGCCGAGATCGCACCACCGCACTGCAGCCTGGGTGATAGAGTGAGACTCCATCTCAAAATTAAAAAAAAAAAAAAAGAATTTCAGATGTACAGCAGCTGTAATTCTTCTGAAGGCTGGTTATGGGACACATTACTTTCATACTTTGTTGTTCAATAAATGTGGGGTGGAGAATAAAGTAAATTGTCAGAATTACCATATAAAATAAAATTCTAAGTCCTCTGACAACAAAAGAAACTTAAAATACACACACACACACACACACACACACACACACACACACACACACGGTTTTCCCTAATCATTTTACAACTAAACAACCAATAAGCTAACCCAGGGCCCACAAAAGCAGAGTAAAAATTCTATCTCTTGATAAAATAAAAATGCACATATATCCCTGTCATCTAAAAAAAAATGCTTAAGTATTCAAAAACAGACAGCAATTATAGCTACTGAGAACATCATTGTAAGCAAAATAAGGCAGAGAAAACAAAGGTGCTGATGAGGATTTGAACCACCTAAGCTGCAGAAACCCACTAGATGGTTTCCTAGGTTCCAAGTTGGCATTATCTTTCAGAACGATCTTCTAGAAAAGATTACATAACGCTGTTACAAAGGATCTGGGGAAAGGGATGCTGGCTTGATAAAGCCAGCTGGCTTGATGCTCTGGCTCTCCAGTCATGCTTTACATTTTCACTTCTTACACTCTCTTTCATATGAAGTCAATTTACAGACTTCCATCAAGCCCTTAGAGACCTTTTTGTACTATCCATGATGAGTTCTTGATGTTATCTCTGCACTTTTGACAAATTCTTAGCAGTTAACTTACAAGACAGTTAAGATTTTTGTTCAAGCACAATATAGTGACAATAGGATCACACACTTAATAAAACAAATATTTACCAAGCATTTATTCAGTGGAAGATGAAAAGCACAAAGTATAATTATAAAATATTCTCCCCTGTCACCATTTTATAAAAAGTAAAAAGGCTTACAGAATACAGAATACATAACATGACCAAAGCAAAAATAGTAAGGACTAAAGAGGGGAGGAAGGTGACATATCAGCATGAACAAAATATGACCCAGAAGAGCCTTGGTGGTCAGACATGTAAAGACAAATTGGGTAGAGTTAGTGGGTGGCTGTCAGGGGCACATTCTACAGGGGAAAAATAGCTGATACAGAAGCCTGAAAGGAAAAGCGGGCAGAGCGCCTGTACAGGACTGTTAACCTGCCGCATCCACGGTACAATGCGCCTTTCCAGAACATAGCGGCGGCCCGGGGACAGGGAACGCTCAAACAGCACCAGAGGCTGCATTCCAACTTTTTCTCCCTCAACAAGTCCGTTTTCATTGTTAGTTTCTCCTTAAACACAAACTTAAAAACGATTGGCTGAACACGAGAGAACAAGGAAAACCTGACTGAGGAATGAGGCCTTTAAACTTAAGGGCCTTTGGGGTCCGGGCGCGGTGGCTCAGGCCTGTAATCCCAGAACTTTGGGGGGCAGAGGTGGGTCATTTGAGGTCAGGAGTTCGAGACCAGCCTGGCCAACATGGTGAAACCCTGTCTCTACTAAACAACACAAAAGTTAGCCAGGCGTGGTGGCGGGCGCCTGTAATCCCAGCTACTCGGGAGGCTGAGGCAGCAGAATCGCTTGAAGCCATGGACTCTCAAGGGACAGAGGCTGCAGTAAGCCAAGATCGCCCCACTGCACTGCAGCCTGGGCGACAGAGTGAGACACCAGCTCAACAAGCGCTTCCCATCATGCCGGTTAATTTTTGTATTTTTAGTAGAGACAGGGTTTTACCATGTTGGCCTGGCTGGTCTAGAACTCCTGACCTCAGGTGATCCACCTGCCTCAACCTTCCAAAGTGCTGGGATTACAGGAATGAGCACTGCGCCCGGCCAAAAAACCGAAAATCTTAAAGGCCTTTCCTCTTCCCCGCCTGGGCTCAAACAACAGCCGGAGCCAACCTGTCATGCCCGGTCGCGGTTCCGGAGCAGGTCGGCTGACTGAGGGCGACCATGGGCCCCGAAAGGGCTGCGGGAGACGCGGGCTCCCACCTCGGGAAGCGGCCACCAGGGCGAGAGGTGCCAGCAGTCCCCAAGCCAGCCCCGCGCAAGGAGCCAGAGAGACGCACCCTCAGCCTCCTCCTACCCAAGCCTCCCGCAGTCCCCGCGATCTGGGCCAGGCCAGTCGCAGGAGAAAGGGGTGTGTTGGCCCAGCCCGGGGAACCGGGGCCTCTCCGGGACAGGCTCTCCTTTGTCCCGGGACTCCAGGAGCCTCCTCTCCGCCCTCGCCCTGACCCGCGAGGCCGCGGCTGGGCGCCTCATCATGACGTTGCAGTGGAGCGTGAGCTGCGGCGGCTCCTGGTTCTTGTGGAAGATAGAGGCTAGCAACTTCAGCTTGGCCTTGAACCCTGACACGGACATCTTACCCTCATTTCCGGCGGGAGGGGCGCGGAAGGTGAGCCGATCCGGAGCCCCTGTCATGGCCACGACCACCCGGCAGGACAGCCCGGCGGAGCTCTGGCCGCTCTGCCTCTCCCCACTGCCTCCACTGTAGTCGGAGCATGGCTGGAAAATGGTAAGGGGCACCGAGGCTTCTGCGGGGAGCTGTGTGGCGGCCTGGGCGGCTGCTCCCCTTGTAACCGACTCCACCGACAGGAGGCGCGGCTCCTGTCAAGACGCAGCTTAAAAGGGCAACAGCACCACCGCCCCCTCTACCGCCTGGGAAAGGGCTGCCCCCACCTTACCCCCTTCCCTCTCACTCCTTACCCCTGCGCTCCCAGTGCCCACCCATTTCCGCAGGTGCAAGAGTCTGGAGCATGAGTGCGCTTCTGGCTGCCCCCTCCTAGCCTTGACTCAGCACTACTGGACCCATCTGGTCCGTTCCTGGCACTGGCGGACTGGAGGCTCCGGGCAGCACAACCACCAACTCGTGTGTGCGTGTGTGTGTGTTGGGGGTGCGGGGTGGGGGGCACAAAACCACTAACGCGTGTGTGTGTGTATGTATGTGTCTGTCTCCCAAGGGAACAGCACTGCTGAGTTCAGGCTGAGTTCAGTCCTCATGGACTGTAAGCAAAATACACTCACAAGAAGGCTATGTGCTGTTTTGTCTTTTGCAGTGACATCATGTTTGCAGTGACATCATGTGGCTCATGTTTTATGTTTTTCAGAGTTCATTAGTTTCTGTTTGTTCTCAGTTAATATCCAGCTCAATAGATTGTGTAAGTAGAATACCCCCAAACTGAAAGTCACCTACATAAAATATAGTGAAAAATATGTCACTCACTTAAACTATAGTTGAAAACATGTACTCATTAGTTTTGTGTAGCCGACACTGGATACTGGGTAAGGGCACAGGATCCCAGGGCTAGACTGCCTGGGTTCAAGTTCCGATTGAGCCACTTGCTGGCTTTGAAATACTTGACAGCTTTAAGCCTCAGTTTCTTTCTTTCTCTTTTTTTTTTTTTAACTTAATCCCAAATGTGATAGTAAGTCTCAGTTTCTTGATCTGAAAAACAGAAATGATTCAATGAGAGTCTATGTGAAAAGCTACTATCTGGCTCAGGAAAGTCCTCAGCTTTAGCTGTTAAAGTTTTAAAAGCCACTTTAAAGTTTTTAAAGTCACTGCCTGGCTCAGGAAAGTCCTCAGCTTTAGCCCTTATTAGCTATGATTATTATTGTGCTGGCTACACATATATTAATGAGGCAGGAAAATGCTCAAGGATAACAACCAAGTATCCAGATTATTTCATCAGGTCGAGACAGATCCATATGTGTGTATGCTCATGTTTTAGCTCAGAGCCATTTGTCTAAAACGCTGTTGAACTCAGAGGCCCAGGCAGTATCAACTTTACTTTGCAGTGGAGCCATCACTTTTGTTAATCAATGAAATTGACATAACGCTCTTTTTTTCTTTTTAGCACCAGCCATGTGCCTAGAGCTAACTGTGTCAAGAAGAGCATACTTCAATTGGCTGGAGTGAGCAATTCAGCTTGTGGAGGAATGAGAAATGATAGTGTTGAGACAAGAAACATAAAACCCCAGGGTAAGATAGGAATCACTGAAAGTCAGGCAAAGGAACTGGCATCCAGTGATGAGTCAGGCTTTGCCCGTCTCTGGCCCTACAGATGGCTCTTTGGAGAGGAAAAAATTAAGCCAGGCCCGAGGGCACAGATCCTAAGGGACTGCTGGCAGCTCTAGGCTGTCTATGGAAGAGAAGCAGACGGTGGCATCTGGTTGAAAGAGGGAGCTGGGGGGCATGGCTTGAGCCTGTGTTTACAGATGGAGTCCCCTGATTCCTGCGACTGGGGAAGGAGATCATGCCTGGATCAGGGGACCTCAAATCAGAACTTTTCCCACCCACACTCCTTCTTGTCAGGGCATCTTTCACTGCAAACAACAGATAAACTAGTTGAAAGCTCAGTAGATTCTCATGATGGTGCCCAGCAGGCCAGGCCTAGCTGCCCTTTAACATGTGACTGAGGGTGATGCCACTGGCCCATAGGACACACTGGGAACTCTTTACATCCATGGACACGCCCTGCCCCACAGAGACAGCTATGCAGGGTTCTTTAGGTTTGGTGTGCTGTGCTGGCAGTTGCCTTATAAATATGTAGGATTAAAATGGGATGTCCTGGAGCTTAGCTGACCTTTACTCCCCACTCTAAAATGAAGGGGCTGCTAGTTTTGTCTGTTTTATGAAAGATGGCTCTGTCATTGTTTTTAGAACCTTTGGAGAAAGATTTCTTGGGAGGAAGCTACCCTGAACACTCAAAAGATTTTTCTCATTTACTGGCACACCAGCTTTAGAGTCCAGGTCTTCATCCTGGCTCAGCCACCCTCCAGCTGTGTGGCCTTTGAGAAGTTGCTTGACTACACTGAGTCTTACTGTCACTATGAGTGGAGATTGCTACATTGCTACTGTGTGGAGCACCTTCCCCCAGGCACTCTTATAGGGTGATGGTGAAGATTAAATGAAATAATGAGGCTGAAGGGGGAGGATCGCTTGAGGCCAGGAGTTTGAGACTAGCCTGAGCAACAAAGCCAGACCTCATTTCTAGGAAAATTTTTTTTGGGTTTTTTTTGAGATGGAGTCTCACTCTGTTGCCCAGGATGGAGTACAGTGGCATGATCTCAGCTCACTGCAAGCTCTGCCTTTCAGGTTCATGCCATTCTCCTGCCTCAGCCTCTGGAATAACTGGGACTACAGGCGCCCGCCACCACACCTGGCTAATTTTTTGCATTTTTAGTAGAGACAGGGTTTCACCATGTTAGCCAGGATGATCTCGATATCCTGACTTCATGATCCACCCGCCTCAGCCTCCAAAAGTGCTGGGATTACAGGCATGAGCCACCGCACCCAGCCCAAAAATGTATTTTAAAAAATTAGCTGGACTTAATTGTTTATGCCTGTAGTCCCAGCTACTAGGGAGGCTGAGGTGAGACCACTTCAGCCCAAGAGTTTGAGGCTGCAGTGAGCCATGATCGCACCACTGCATTCCAGCCCAGGCAACAGAGAGAGACCCTATCTCAAATAAATGAATGAGTCAGTAAATAAATAAATAAATAAATAAATAAATAAATAAATGAAATAATGCATTTAATTAGTACACTAGTACATGATCAGGCACATGATAAATGCTTGATAAATGGTAGCCCCAATAAGCTTTGTAATGTTTTGGGAGAGAGTGTCCTTTCGACTCAGCCCAGTCACAGAAGCATTTGAAAAGACTGATTTGTATGATGGCTATTTCCTACAGGTAAAAACCTGTACCTCCAGGGACCCAGGGCATTGCCTCAATGGGGCACTTTATTCTATTTACTCTTGTTTTGGGCAGCACCTGTTGCCCTAGGGCTAAGCAGGACTGCTACCACAGACTCGATTGCCAAGAGTATCTCCCTCCCCAAGCTAGCCATGGGAAAGCCACTTGCATCATAAGACTACAGGAAATCAAAGAGAATAAAAACCACAATTTAGTCACTCACTCTCCAGTTGATGGGAAATAGGTTTTTGCTATTTTGAACAGAGCTGTTAGAAACATTCATTGTCCACATCCCCTGTTTTATATAGGCAAGAATTTCTCTTGGATGTAGAGTAGAATTGCTGGGCTGGGAGGAGTGTGAATATTCAACCTTATGAGATGGAGCCAAACTGTTTTCCGAAGTGGTCATACCAGTGTATACTCCCAGCAGCAGTTCTTAGGAGATCTCAGGATCTCTATCTTCCGATGATGTCACAAGCATTCAAAAAGAATGAATGCCAGCTATAAACAACAATAAGGATGAATCTTAGCAATATAATATTAAGTGAAAAAAGCAAGTTCCAGAAGGATACATACAGCATACTTTATATAACTTGGAAAAGAAAATGTGGGCATGTTGGCTCATGCCTGTAATCCCAGCACTTTGGGAGGCCAAGGCAGGAGGATTGCTTGAGGCCAGGAATTCAAGACCAGCCTAGGCGACTCAGCAAAACTCTGTCTCTACAAAAGCTAGAAAAATTAACTGGGTATGGTGGTGCAGGCATTTAGTCCCAGCTACTCATGAGGCTGAGGTGGGAGAATCTCTTGAGTCTAGGTGCTCAAGGTTACAGTGAGCCATGACTGCACCACTGCACTCCAACCTGGGCAACAGAATGAGACCTTGTCTCTAAAGAAAAAAAAAAGTAAATAAGTAAAATTTAAACACATAATGTGTATATATACTTTAGGATTATATAAAGATAAAATAAAAAACTGTACCTCTAGGGGAAGATTGTATAAAGATAAAATAAAAAACTATATCTCTAGGGGAAGAGAGACATCTGTACACACATTTCATGGCAGCATTATTCACAATAGCCAAAAGACACACGGTACAACATGGGTGAACCTTGAAGACATTATGTTAAGTGAAATAAACCAGCGCAACAAGACAAATACTGTATGATTCTGCTTGCAGGAGGTATTTAGAGTAGTCAAACTCAGAAATAGAAAGTAAAATGGTGGTTGCCAGCATCTTGGAAGGAGGGGAAAACAGGGAGTTATAAATGGGTGTAGAGTTTGAGTTATGGAAAGAGTTCTTGGAGGCTGGGAGCGGTGGCTCAAGCCTGTAATCCCAGCACTTTGGGAGGCCGAGACAGGTGGATCACGAGGTCAGGAGATCGAGACCATCCTGGTTAACACAGTGAAACCCCGTCTCTACTAAAAAATACAAAAAACTAGCCGGGCGAAGTGGCGGGCACCTGTAGTCCCAGCTACTTGGGAGGCTGAGGCAGGAGAATGGCGTAAACCCGGGAGGCGGAGCTTGCAGTGAGCTGAGATCTGGCCACTGCACTCCAGCCTGGGTGACAGAGCTAGACTCCGCCTCAAAAAAAAAAAAGAAAAAAAGAAAGAAAAGAAAAGAGTTCTTGGAGACAAATCACAGAAGTGTGAATACACTTAGTACTGAACTGCACACTTAACAGAGGTAGTGATGGGAAATTGCATGCCATGTGTATTTTACCATGATTTTGAAAAGAAAAAAGGAACTTAAGGGAACTAAGAATATGAGATTCAGGAAACTGATTCCCTGTGGTAGGGGGAAGTAATAGGGAGTTGGGAATATGGGACAGTGGTGTGTCACCAGCTGCAAGTTGTCAAGGTCCTAACTAATTTTGCATAGTGAGTTTCCTTTAAAAATAGTGCTTATTGTATTTTTAAAATAAACAGACATATTAAAATGCTCCTGCATTTTACCAATGGGAGAGTGTGTCATGAACCAGGGATAAGATCGATCCAATTATCTACACCTGAAGGGAAAGATATTCAACCTCAAAATTACCTGTAGGAAATGATAAACTGTTTTAAAATTTACAGTAAGGATGTAAACATCTCTCCTGACATTTTCCTTTTGTCATTTTCATGAAGTCCTGACTTAAAGAACCCTTCTTTAAATTACTGCAGATAGAAGGTACACATAGAAAACTGAACCAGGAAGATTCCCATCTGGCAATTTTAGTCACATTTAGTCATATTTCTCCACCCAAGAGAAACAAAGAGAAGCTTGTCCCTTCAGAAAGCTATGATTTTTTTAAAAAAAATTCAACAAAATACTAATTTATTAAATAATACAAGTGACAATTTGGTTGCAAGTTGGCAGCTCAAAATTTCTAATTTTTAATATGATTGATCCATAATGTGATAATTGACTTATTCTGGTTCAGATTTGTTATCAGATGTTGATTTAACAAGGTTTTGTTCAGGTCTGTTTATGTCATGGGGTCACAAAATATGTTTTAGAGCTGAAAGTAACTATAGAGATTATCTTGTCCAGAGATAGCAAATTCTTGGCACACTTGCCTCTAGTCCCCAAACCCATGCTCATGGCAGACATTGCTAATCAATAGCAGGATGTTTCCCTCACAAGCCTGGTCTACCTCAGAATCCTTTCTACACAGATTTCCAAGCAGCCACTTGGTCCCAGTCCATGATTTGAATCCTATTTGGCATCCCTTAATCTAGTCCAACTGTCTGCTTGTACAGATGGAGAAACACAGTAAGGAGGTGAATTATGCAAAGTCACACAGGAGACAAAACTCATTCACATTTTCTGAGCTCCAGTCCAGTGCCTTTCTCATTACCTTTGAGGCGTCCCTTCCTTTGTGTCTCTGATATAAACCAGGCACTCTTGTCATCACAGGAATCCCAGGCTCTGCTGATTCAATGAGCTGAATCCAACTCACAATATGCAGCTCCACTCATGGATGTTTTTCATTCTGGGATTGTAGGCCTCTCTCTTCCTCTCTGTCCTTTCAGCTGCTACTCACACTGGTGGTGACGGCTTCCACAGAGGAGAGCGCATCCTCCTTATCTTCTGTGAACCTCCTCTTGCATCTCCCCAAAGTGCTTTACAAGCAAACTACAGCACTGCCAGCTTTGGGGTGGCCATAACTCATTTTATGCTGGCCACTGAGCTCCCCTCCATGGTTGCATTGTTGACATGGAGCAGATTCTGCTTCATTGCCTGAAATGATTCCCCCTCCAAAACCACCACTCCACCTGCATACACAAATGACTGAAGATTTCTTTCTCCGAGAAAACCTACAAACTCCAAATTGTTAGATAAATGAAATGGAGACCAAATTGCAAAAGCAGGTAATTGGCTGTGATCCATGTGAAATAGCTGTGGAAACAAAACTGAAGACCATCTAGTGCCTTCTGAAATTGGCCTTAATTAAGATGCTTTTACGAAGCTGGGAAAAGGCAGGCAGCAGCTCAGGATCTTTAGTGCCACAAAATAATGGAAAGGCCTTTATCCTCTGAAAGGGATACCAGGAGCAGGCAGGGCATTATCCTCTTCTTTGAACCATGAGAGGACATTTTACAACCTCTGCCAAGATGCCTCGGTTCAAATTAAAATTCAAGTGGTTTTGCCAGTCCCTCCTCCAAGTGAGAGGTACATACCTCCTCTTAAAGCCATAGGAAAGGCATTGGAGAGAACTGGCTGTCTTCTCATTTTGGACATGAGAAAGTGGGGCACAGATCAGACAAGAACTGGCCATAAGTCACACCT